TGACGTTCCCTCATTGGTTTTTATTGCTATTGTTGTAGATTCCTGGTGTTCATTCATTCTCAAAATGAATGCTCTCATGATCCAATCTAAGGACTCACACCTTCCCCTCCAACTCTGCTGCCCAAAACACAACCCCCTCATGTCCTAGTGGAGGGAACAAAACCCAGCCACTCTCCTCACACTGCCACCTCTTCTAAGTCACCCTACTGATTGCCACCAGCTTCACAGCACAGTTATTCCTTCTTTGGGGCATAGGACTACTAATTCATCCATTTCTTTTACCACCAGGACCCCTAAGCCCCCAAACTACATCCTTGGAACATGCAATGTGTATTTTTTCCTAAGGAGAAGATCCATAACTACAATTCTCTTCTCAATGAATCCACTGTTGTCTTCTCCAAAAAGACTGACTCTGTCACTTTGATCAGTTTTGCCATTATGTTCTTGGAATGGCCAGTCAGCATCCTGACTTGTCCCTCACCCCATCTCCTCCACCAGTCCACTCTGTACAGTGACGTCATCTTGCTGTTTCCATCCAGCAGGAGACAGGCTTGTGGCTTCCGCTCTGGCAGTCCACGCCATCTCCTCACCTTTATGCAGCCAAATCACTCTTACTCCCATTTCTCCACTCAACGCTCTCAGACTTGGGGCAACTCTCTGGCCCTTTCTCCACAACCACCACTTGACCAAGGTCAAGACCAGTCCAGAGATGGAGAAGACCAAATAATTGAATGGGGGAGGAGGGTTAAAAAGGAAAATGTCCAGCAGGGCAATGGTGGCTCACACCTTTAATCCCTGCCCTTGGGAGACAAAGGTAGGTGGATATCTGAGTTTGAGGCCAGCCTGGTCAGTCAGGGATACACAGAAATCCTGTCTAGAAAAAAAAACAATAAATAAATAAATAAATAAATAAATAAATAAATAAATAAATAAATAAATGTCCAAGTGAGAGTTGTCTGCATACTATCAACACCTTGAAAAAGAAAGAGCTCTCCAAGGTACCGGAGTAAGAAAGCTCTCCAAAACAGAAACATGCCAATCTCAATTTCTGTCCTTCCATATCCCACTCGCTTCACCAAAGGGTGGCATTTGACACTTACAGATGAGAGTAGAGGCCAGGTGGTAGTGGCAAACAGTTTCAGTCCCACCACTTGGAAGGCAGAGGCAGGCGGATCTCTAAGTTCGAGGTCAACCTGTTCTACAGAGCAAGTTCCAGGACAGCCAGGGCTACACAGAAAACCCTGTCTCGAAAAGCCAACCAACCAAACACACACACACACACACACACACACACACACACACACACACACACACACACATTAAATAAAAAATTAAAAAACAAAACAAACCAATGAGAACAGCACATTAAAGGGTAGAGAGTATCTTAGGGTTTCTATTGCTGTGAAGAGACACCATGACCCTGGCAACTTTTATAAAGGAAAAACATTTAATTGGGGTGGCTTACATTTCAGAGGGTTAGTCCATTATCATCATGGTGGGACATGGTAGCCTGCAGGCAGACATGGTGCTGGAAAAGTAGCCAAGTGTTCTACCATCTTATCTCACAGGCAACAGGAAGTGGTCTGAGACAATGGGCATGTATGAAACCTCAAAGCCCACCCCCACAGTGACGCACTTCCTCCAACAAGGCCTTACTTCCTAATGGTGCCACTCCCTTTGGGGGCCATTTTCTTTCAAACCACCACAGAAGGCTCACCCAGTAAAGGCAAAATGCTTGCCCTAAAAGCCCTGTGAACTGAGTTCAATCCCCATAACCCACATAAAGACAGAAGTATTGGTGAAATTATTAAGGCCACTCCACGTATTAAAAGGGAGGTTTATTTTGTGGGGTAACTTACAAGTGAAGGAAGAGTTTACAGAGTCTGGGAAAGGTGTAGCGCAGTCCGACGGTGTTCTCTAGAGAACTCTGCTCAGTCTAGCTCCAGCGTCCAGGGTCCAGGAACCAAGAGAGCCGGCACATCCAGATCACAGGTCTTCAGGGTCCTCCCTTGGCCCCGCCTTATAGGCGTGACAGTTACCAAAGCCTCAATGGGGGTTGGAACTTCCAGGTCAAAGCTGGAATGGCTACCCACTACACAGAAGGAGAAAAACAATTCCACAGGTTGTTTTCTGACCTTCACTCATGCCATGCCGTGTGTGTGTTGTGTGGACTCACTTTCACCTCTCTCTCACACACATACACAACAGTAATAAAGTTTTTAAAATACTGTGAAGATAGAGCAGCGAGTTGAAAATAAAACATAACCAGAAGCAAGCATGAATGTGTCAAACGCCTGTGGTGACAGCCACGGAGAGGGGTCAGGCAGAAGAACTGAGAGTTCACAGCCAGCCTAGCCACAGAGCAAGACCCCGTCAGAAAAAGGAGAGGGGAGAAAACAGAGTTTTTAAAAATCCATTTATCTTTATTTTATGTGCATTGATGTTTTGCCTGCATGTATGTCTGTGTGAGCATGCCAGATCCCCTGGAACTGGAGTTATAGAAAGTTGTGAGCTGCCATGTGGGTGCTGGGAATTGAACCTGGATCCTCTGGAGAAACAGCCATCTCCTGAGCCATCTCTCTAGCCCCCAAGAACAAATCCTAAATAATGCATCCACAATAGTCAGTTTGGGTATCAGTATGATGAATGATGTCCCAGCATCCAGGTACACAGCTCCCTCCCAAATACTGGCCCGGTTATATCTCAACTTCCCCCAGGACTTAACCATGCCCTTGGCCCTGTGAGCAAAAAGCCTTTAAAACACCTTGCAGGTGGGGCTGAAGAGATGGTTCCGAGTAGAATGTTTGCAGGTCAAGCATGAGGACCTAAGTTTAAACCTCCAGACCTCCAGTAAAGCCAGTGTGGCCTTGTGTACCGGTAGCCCCTAGGAAGTGGAGACAGGAAGCTGGCTCAGGCTTGCTGAGCAGTAGGCTAGCTACAGGCTCAGTGAGAGACATTGCCTCAAAAAACAAAAGCAAACCAGTGGAGAGTGATAGAGAAGACCCAACATCCTCTACTGACCTTTATACATGTACATAGGTGTGTATGTATGTGCACATACACCACATGTAGACACAGACTTGGAGAAAATTTAAGACGAAAAGTTTAAAAACACCTTTCAATTATGTTTCTGATGGGAATCACTAAAGAGCTGAGAATAGGGCTGAAGAGATGGCTCAGGGGTTGAGAGCACTGACTGCTCTGCCAGAGGACCCGGGTTCAATTCCCAGCACCACATAACTTCAGTTCTAGGAAATCCAACACCCTCACAGACATACATGAAGGCAAAACACCAATGCACATAAAATAAAATAAATTAATTTAAAAAAAAAAGAAGAAGAAGAACTGGGAATATAGCTCAGTGGTAGAGAACTTGCTTAGCATGTGTGAGGCTGTAGGTCCAATTACCAGCACTCAAAAAATGAACAAACAAACAACACTGGAAACTCACCTCTAGGCTTCTTGTCCACAGCATCCCATCAGCATCCAGACCACATTGCTCAGCTGTGCCTCAAACCCAGAGTAGGATTTTAAAACAAGGAGAGTTTTAAAACAACAGCCACCCTGCCTCTCTCATTTTGATAAAGATGAAACAGACGCAAAAGACCCAAGACCTGGGCCGAAGATTGGAATGATTAGCAAAGCCAAGCTAGCTTTTTTGGAGATACAGACAGGGTCCTTCAGGACCCCTGAACACCTGGGGGGGGGGGTTCACTATTACTGGAAAGAAATTACAGTATGTAGTATTCTGAATTTTCCCCCTCTATTATAAATTGATTTTTCTGTCCTTGACAAAATCCTTTCCATCCATTTCCTTTGTAAATGGTAACCTTGAAGGCCCGATACTGCTACCCAGCTGCATGCTGGTGGGGATGCCTGCCCAATTAGACTCCTTTGTAAAGTTTAATGAACACCGAGGAAGAATGGGAAGAAAAGGTCAGAACTTCAGTGTCCTAGGACAGAACCAGTGACAAGACCTTGGCTGGGAAAGCTACCCAGAGAGCCCAGTAGAGGAGAGACTCAATTCGCTCAGCAGAGCAGCTGACTCTGCCCTGCAGAGGCTAAGCGCTGGCTCGCTTCCACCAATTAAAACCCCCTCGCCCTTCTCTCGCTTCCACACTGGTTGAGACCGATGGCCCAATTTGCCAGCAACCAAGGCAGAGACCACGAGCTGAGCAGCTCATTGGCAACCGCAACCGTAATGGCTCCCAGAGAAGACTCCCTTTCGTTCAGATGCTGGAGCGATTATTTGCTGCTGACAGCTGTAATTACTTTCTGCTGCAGGTGGGTGGCGGGTCCAAAAGCTAAGCTCACAGGACCACTGATTTCTAAAGGGCTTTGAAACAAGTAATTTTCAGGCAGTCGGCACGGCATGTTTAATAAACTCTCCATGCAGGTCAATTGCTTTCTCTGTGGTGAAGGGCCACCCACAGGCTAAGTGCGGATTCCTGGATGGGTACACTCTGGGCCTGCAAGGTCCTTTTTCTTTAGCGTTCCTTTGTTTGAGAACAGGACCTGAGAAAATCGTGTTTGCAGGTATTTCATGGGCTTGCACATAATTTGTTATGGTTTGAATATGGAAGTGTCTTCCATGGATCACGGTTGAGTGTTTGGTCCCCAGATGGCCGATGTTATTTTGGGGAGTTCCGGAAACTTTAGATAGGGCTTAGCTTGAGGAAGTAGGTCACTAGGAATATGTCCCTGGGACTGTATGTTATCCCAGACCCTTTTCTCCTGATCACCATGAAAAGTCTACACATTCCTGCTGTCATCATGCTCCATGTACTCCCACCCACTACCACCACAAGCCCTGGATCAACAAAGCCAAGGACTGAAAGCCCTGAGGCCGTGAGCCAAGACAAATGCTTTCTCCTTTAAGTTATTTAGACCAAGTATTTGATCACAGCAACAATACATCTAACCCTGCATTAGCAATCTTTCTAGTTACTGTAACAAAATACCAACGAAAAGCAACTACAAGAAGGGAGGGTTTGGGCTGGTACTTTGAGGGTACAGTCCACCATGATGGGAAAGTCTGGCAGCCTGGGTGGCCCCAGCTGTGGTACTGGGAGCCCCATGCAGCTGGTCACATTGCATATGCAGTCAAAGAGCAGACATGAATGCTGGTGTTCCGTTCTCTCTGTGTTTACTTTTTTGATTTAGCTTGGGACCTCAGTCGGTGGGATAAACCACTCATGTGCAGGGTTGGTCTTCCAACCTCCGTAAAAGTTCTTTGGAGACGCTGTCTCGGACACAGCAGGAGGTGTGTCTCCTAGGTGATTCCAAATCCAGGCAAATTGACAACAAAGATTCATCATTTCTGCAGAGAAGTTAAAGAAAGATTTCAACCCAGTGGGTCTTTCAGCCAGAGTTTCTAACCAGATTACTATTACTGTAGTAAAAACAAACAAACAAACAAACAAACAAATAAATAAATAAATAAATCTACTACTGTAGATTATTTTGCAGCAAGTTTCTCCATTTGGGATTTCAAGAGTACAGGAAGTAACTACAAGAGTTGACAAATGGGGTCACACGGAACTAAAAAGCTCCTGTACAGGAAAGGAAACAAGTATAACAAAGGGACAGCCTACAGAACGGAAGAAAGTATTTGCCAACTATAAACCTGGTGGGGAGTTAATATCTAGAATCTATAAAGAACTCCGACTATAAACCTGGTGGGGAGTTAATATCTAGAATCTATAAAGAACTCCAAAAATGAAACACCAAACCCAAATCACTCACTCAATAAATGTGCTAATGAATAAAATAGAGAGTTCTCAAAAGAAGAAATGCAAATGACCAATACATATTTTTAGAAATGTTCAATGTACTTAGTTAACAGGGAAATGCAAATTCAAACTTAGGGAGAGTCCACCCTCCTCCGGTAAGAATGGCTACCATCAAGTATGACAAGCCTGGAGAGATGGCTCAGTCAGTGGTTAAGAACACTTGCTGCTCTTACAGAGGACCCAGGTTCAATTCCCTGCACCCACATGGTAGCCCATCAAAGTCTGCAATTCCAGTTTCAGGGGACCTGACATGCTTCTCTGGCCTCCACAGCCACCAGGCAGGCATGTAGTGCACAGACACACAGGCAGCAGATAAGTATATCTAAAACAAATTACCGTACAAACATGAAGACCTACGTTCAAGTCCCAGCACCCACTAAAAACAAAAACAAATAAAACAAACAACAAGAATAGGCACTATGGTGGGCACTTATAATCCCAGCATGGGAATACAGAATGGGATTTATAGTGCTATAGCCCTCATGTGGCAAATGAGAAAGTGGAGTAAACTTTCAAACCAAATAGACTGTCTTACAATCAAACAGACAGCTTCAACTTTATATTTTGACATGGAAACTGCACCACTGAAGTCCTTCCCGAAGCTCAGCTCCAGCTATCTCAAAGCCTACCCTTCTCTGAGCAACTTGAACCTCACAGAGCTGTTTGTGAAGTCTCTTTCCTACAGCAACTTCCCTTTGGGAACAAGTACCATTCGTATATCCTGGCACTTGGTTTGGACATTCAGTTTAATGACTGAATAGTTTAAGAGTAGAAGACATTGAATGGGTATTAACACTTAATCAGCTAACGAATGCCCGATGGAAGGACATTTGAAGAAGTCAGCATCCATTGGGTCCCAGAGACCCATGGTCTATGGATTATTAAACATAGCCACAGAATAAATGGGAGAAAAAAAAATGAAAGAACAAAACTAAATGTGTGTGACAGCAATTTTGAAACATGATCTAAGCCACTGGAAATAAACTCCAAAAACTTGTCAAGTATGTGCTAAGTAAACTAGCAGAGCCAGCACACGAAAGAATACTTTTAACTTTGACTAGAAGTTTAAAGCATTTAAAATATTCGTAAAACTCTCACATGTGTAACCAAAAGAAATGGGAAAATATGCAGGTCACTCTCTTCTGATGGGATGAAATGTTAAAACTTTACACAGCTCCCTGAAAACAAATGGCATGACCAGGTCAACCCCAGAGGAGAGGGTTTTCTAGAGGAAGGGAATCTGCTCATTAAATCATGAGGTGATAAGAAAAAGCATGAGCCTTCCAGGAGAGAGCAGGAATGAAGTTATCTCAGCCAGGATCTCCAGGTAGCAAAAAAGAAAAAAAAATTAATTAAAAAGGGAGCAATTGGGTGAGGGGAGCCCAGAGAAGCTCAGATGTTTCGACAGAACTCCTAGAGTTCAGTTCTCTATGATCGATAGCCCCTGCTGAGGTCTGGTGCAGACATAAGGATCCACATCAAAGAAAATGAGTTAGAGTAAGTGTTCACGTTACCAGCCAGTCCAAACGCTTCCTTCCACGATGCTGTAATTCCATTCCAACTCAAAGGGGATTGAAACCTCCATGAATAATGAAAGGTACTGAAAGCAAATTGAAAGCCAGTGGCGACTGAATGTGGTCTAGTAAACATCCCCGAGTCAGCAATTTTAAAGAGAACGACCCTATTTGTCATGGGATGAAATGTCAGAGTGCCCATCAACATCAATCCTTTGCAAGGCGGGTGGAAGACTGGAATGTAGCTCTGTGGTAGAGTGCTTGCCTAGCATGTCTGAGGTCCTAGATATGATCCTAGGCACTGGGAGGTGGGGGATTAAAACAATCTTTCACATACTCTGGTGTCTCCGATTATCTGAATGGGAAAGAGACAAAATAATTATATTTAAGTCTGGTTTGGTATCAAAGGATGACTGAGACAAATTCCAAAATTCATGTGGGGAATCACAATGATTTAGCCTTCACTTTTTTTTATTACAGTTTTTTTTTCTTTTCAAATTTATTTATTTTATGTGCATTGGTGTTTTGCCTGCATGTCTGTCTATGTGAGGGTGTCAGATCTTGGAGTTACAGACAGTTGTGAGCCGACATGTGGGTGCTGGGAATTGAACTCAGGTCCTCTGAAAGAGCAGTCAGTGCCCTTAACTGCTGAGCCATCTCTCCAGCCCCTTATTACAGTTTTAAAAATTACATTTACTTACTTGGTATGGGGGTTGGGGTTGGGGGTGAGTAGGTACCCAAGGGCATGCCTGTGGTCAGAGGGCAACTTGTGAGTCAGTTCTCTCTGTGAGTCTCAGGGATTGAACCTGGGTGGTCAGGCTTGGTAGCAAAATGCTTTACTGGCTGCTCTCAAGTTTTGAAAGAGCTGAAAAATCAAATGTTTCCTATGGCCCAATTCCATCCATGTTTATGATGAACAAAAGTCCTGTGTTTTGCGTCATCCAGGTGGCAAAAGAGGAACATTCAGTTCTATCAGTAGGGGATGATGGAGGATTCCAGAGGAGGACTGCAGGCCGCCTGTGTGCCATCATTTTTCAACTATATAAAAAGAACAAAGCAGACTGCTACAACCCACAGCCGTAGCTGAGCGACCGATGACAGCTTTGATGAACTGTGTGAACCAGCACTGCCACACAATTCCTTCAAAGCACTTCCTGGTGGGGGTTGAAACATTTCAGAAGCCGAGGGGGACGACCTACCTATAGCCATTTAGAAAATGAAATGTCTGTAATTATAGACATTTCAATAATAGATAATTATTAGGATCAATGAACAAAGTTGAGGGTATATGTCTGCTGGGGCGGGGGGGGGGGTGTCTTTTTACTTTGTTTCCAAGGATTTTTAAATTAAGAATTATAAGGACTTGGGGCTAGAGAGATGGCTCATTAGTTAAGAACACTTCCTGAGTATACTTGAAACCCTGCGTTCATCTCAGCATACTGCCACAAAAAGAGTTATTGAAGAAAATAAAATTCAATATACTGTATAAACTTCTTTGAAAAGAAGTGTCATCTTTGGTGAGCGGGTGTCCTCTTGACTTGTGTAAAAATTACCTCCTAACACTAGCAGATACTCTAACCTGTTCCATCATTCAGGATTTACAGATGGCCGGGCTAGATGTCACAGTGATGTTTGACAATAACAGACTTGTGGTCTTCGCACGGATCCTGGAGAGTCTCCGAAGTCTGTGGATAGTGGTAATTTCTGGAGGCATCTGTCAGGCTGTATTTGTAAATCATGAAACACATCCCTATTACTTAGCCAATACAACCAATCATAATGAGTCACACTCACACAAAAACAAAAACAAGCAACAGTCACAGCTAGAGAAACTCGAGATTACCTATTTGGTTCTTTCTTCGTGCAAGGAAACCGGGGCCCAAATTTCAGAACCTTGCCCAAAGTCACAGGCAAAAAAGGAACAGTAGAGAAAAGTAGTGAAGTCATGGCTCCCTCCTCCCAGTCGGCATCAGTCCCAACATCCACAGTATGTGTCCGAGTTGCCATGGCGGCATCACAGCCCAGCTACTGACTGCCCTGTTCTACCTCACCGCTCGAGCCACCTTTGTGTTCCCGCCACCGCCTTTGAATTATCAGAGAGTCACACCTGAGTCAGTTTGGTTCCTCCGTCTGGGCTTCAGGTGAGGAATCCCACAACTCTCTAGATAAATTAGCTCACGTACTTCTCAGACCAGGCTGTAGGATTATAAAGCAGGCACTAGAAGCCACAGGAAGAATAAGTAGCTTATTTGGGGGGAGAAGGGGGATCTTCTGATTAGAAGAAAGATACATGATGCATGTGTATGAATTTTAAACATGAAATACACGAGCGTCAAAAACCTGCGGAATTTATGAGGACTGGATCAAGCCACTCCCACGGTCCTGCAGTAGGAAGTCACTTGGTGCAAGCTCAGAGAGGTCCCGTTAAAAGGTTCCCACTGTCTTCCATGACCTTCACAACAAGGTCATATCCTGGGGTAAAGAACACGCTGCTATCAAAATACTATGCAGATGGTCCTAAGATACATTTAGCTTCTACATATGACACTCGGCACATTGTGAAAAAAAATAATGCGAGGAGTCGAGTATCAACTATCACATCTGATGAATATGTAACAGAAAGCGCTGCTAGCCAGAATTGTGGGGAAATCAAGCACAGTGGACAGAATTAGTAAAATAAACCCAAGGTGCTAGTTTTAGAGGCCCATAGGACTTTGTGTGTGTGTGTGTGTGTGTGTGTGTGTGTGTGTGTGTGTGTGTGTGTGTATTAAGGATTATGCAGAGGAGAAAAAGCACAGAGATCTTGGAGGCTGGAGAGCTGCAGGACTGTTTATCAAACCTTGATCTCTTCTGTCATCGGTGAAGAAGAGGCTGAGTTAATATGTGATGGGGACAGGGAGGATGAATCTAGAATTCTAAGTTGTTTCACCCCTTGTTCTACCATTCTGTTGGACATGGTTTTTGTTGTTGTTTGTTTGTTTGTTTGTTTTAGACAGGGTCTCTTCACATAGCCCTAGCTGTCCTGGAACTCACTCTGTAGACCAGGCTGATCAAACTCATAGAGAGCTGCCTGCCTCTGCCTCCAGAGAGCATGCGTCACGACCCTCATTGGACCTGACTTTTTAATGAATAGAACGAGAGAGTGGGACCTAAGCGTCTCCTTGGGCATCTCGACAGTGATTAATTCACTCACTGCAAATATACTCAGTTCCTTAAGAATTCTCAGCATGGACTGGTCAGAAAGTAAATTAATCATGAGAAATAAAGACTGAAGGATGAATCTAGATTAAATGACACTGAAGACATCTGAATTAGGTGCATAAGCTGAGATTTTTTTTTTCCTTCCCTGTTGAAAACATAAAAATAATGCACATTTTGAGTGAGGAGTTTACAGATTTTTAAATAATTACTTTGAAGTGACTGGGTGTTTTGTTTGTGTCCGCGTCAGTGTACCATGTATGTACCTGGCACCCACAGAGGCCACAAGAGGGTGTCTGTTGGTACCCCTAGAAGTGGAGTTGCAGATAGTTGTTAGCTGTCATGTGAGTGCTGGGAATCGAACCCCTGTCCTCTGGAAGAGCAGCCAGTGCTCTTATTCATTGAGTCATTTCTTCAGTCCCAGTGATTATAGATTTGACAATACCAGACAGTGGTAGTTTACCTTGTCCTGATTTTAATAACTGTAGTGGAATTAAGGCATTACACATGGAAATATTTAGGGAAGGGAGCATCATATTAGAGCAAGGGGGGAGAAAAGAGAGGGAGAGCAAGATCACACACGTGCACACATTCCAATGGAGTAAATTTCACACAGGAAATACAAGTGAGAAGTACATGAGAATTCTTTGTATATGTTTCCACTTCTGAAAACCCAAAATCATCTAACATCTAAAAACGATCTTGGTTCTATTTTCAGTACTTCAGAGGGGAAAGAGGTAGTTAAAACATTATGTAGATTTTTCTATAAGTCTTTCTGTTGTTTGCCATTAAGATATAATTGTATATGTGTCTGTGTTAGTATGTGGACGTGGGT